CAGACCCGTTCCCGCGTGTCCCCTGAGGGTCTCAGACCCCTTCCCGCGTGTCCCCTGAGGGTCTCAGACCCCTTCCCGCGTGTCCCCTGAGGGTCTCAGACCCGTTCCCGCGTGTCCCCTGAGGGTCTCAGACCCGTTCCCGCGTGTCCCCTGAGGGTCTGTCTGTCTCACCTGGGCTCGGCCAGGAGCAGACCCTGAGACACAACTTCAAACGCAGGCTGCCAATTTGCAAGGTAAATGAAACAACAGTAGTGGAGTGGGGGAAAGAGGAAGGGAAGAGGAGGCCAGGACCTACTGCGCAGGCTGCCATGGTGGGCATCTGGCCCCCCCACCCCCGGGGGGCCCTGGGGGATGGGACAAGAGGAGCCTCCCACGTCCTTCTGGGCAGAGTTCGTTCCCAGCAGCACCCCTGGCTCCTTTCTCTTGTTCCCGCCTCTCTCTGAGGCCTGGGCACTGGACTCCTCTCTAGCACTTCCTATACCCCATCCATCACCAGCTTCTATTGGTCCCCGAAACCCCACTTTATGCCACCCCGTCACCCCTCTGGTTCAAGCTACTGTGGTCACCTGCCTGCTGCGTCCTGAGTGGGCTCTCTGGGGCCCTGTTCACACGGCAGGTGGGGAGTCCTTTTAAAATATGGCCTGAGCACTTCAGTCCTTCTCTTAGAACTCATTTTTCACGCTGACCGCTACTTCCTGTCCCCCTCCCCCTCTCGTCTGCACTTTGTCTGCCAGCCCTTTGGGTTTCTCCTTTCATCTCTTTTTCCTTTGCCTCCTTTTCTGCGTGGCTGTCTCCTCCTCGCTGGCACTTCAGCCATTCTCTTCTTGATCCTGCCACGCCCACGTCCTTCTGGACTGAGGTTGCACTGTCCAGCCTGATCCTCACTCCGGAGCTGTTCGCCCTGTCCCTGCACAGACTCAGAGTCCCTGGCCTGGCCGCAGCTCTGTGCCCCCCATTTCCAGCGACAGCCTCCCCACTTTCAGCCGGCTTCCCCTGCCCTGCCCCAGGCCCTCTGGCCTTTTCTCCGCTTACAAGCCTGCCCCCTCCTCCTGCTTCTCCAGGGCAGCTGCTGGCACTTCCTTTTTCACAGAGAAAACAGAAGATGGAGAATTTGGGGTTCTGCTCAAACCGCCCTCATCTCTTTGGGCAAAAGGTGTCTCTCCTTCTGCCCAGGGGTCAGGGCTCATGTCCTTCCTCCTGTGCAGAGTCTCGACCCATTAGTGACCTTGAGCCTGCTCCCTGCCCCAGGTGCTCTCCTGGGTGGCTGTCACCATCGGCTGAGCCTCATGCCTCCGCCCTTCCCATCCGCACCTGCGCTGCCTCCTGCCACCTGCCTTTCGCTCCACTGCCTGGCCCCATAGCCCTGCCCCAGGCAGGCCCCCAGGCTGCAGACTGCTCTCATGCATGGGGTGCCTCCATGTCACCCCACTTCCAGGATGAGACACCCTCCTCTTGGACTTCCACCCCATGTCTGTTTCCTTTGCTTCCTCATGTCCCCACTGCTTCTTCTACGAGTCCGGTATCTCTTCTCTTTACCTTCACCTGGAAATTTTATCCAGGCTCATGGTTTTAAATGCTGATTGGCTCAACAATGCCCGCATTTGTATCTTCACCTCAGAGACCTCTTTCTCAAATTTCAAACCCAGATCCAGTAGCATCCTGAACATCTCCACTGGCACCTCATGCTGATCTTGCCCTCAGGAAGCTTACACTCCATTGCGTGAGACTGGCAATATGTAGGGTAAATGAGGACGTGTGAAGGTATTAGGTAGTGTAAGATGCTAAGGAGAAAAAACAAAGCAGGGAAGGAAAAAACAAAGCAGGGAAGGAAAAAACAAAGCAGGGAAGGAAAAAACAAAGCAGGGAAGGTTGTGTGGGTGTGTGGGTATGGGTGTGGGTGTGTTCCTGGGAGTGGTGGCATCAACTTTGGACATGGTGCTGCTGAGAATGTGATATTTGAATAAAGAGCTCAAGCGGATGTGACACCTGAGGGCGTGCTCCAGGCAGGGGGGCAGCGGTGCTGGGGTGGCTGTGCGGTTTGCAGAGCCATGAGGAGACTGGGGGGCCAGCATGGAGAGACTGAGAGCAGAGAGGAAGGAGATGAGCTCAGAGCTCAGCCTTTACCCTCCTCCTGGAGCCCCCGGCCCTGCCCAGGTGCCATCATGCCCCCGGGGATGCAGCATCCGCCCGGGTCTTGCTTATACTCTCGCACCTTGACTGTCTCCAGCCCCGCAGTTGGGATGGTTTATAAGTGATCATGCCACTCCCGGCTCAGAACCCTCTGACAGCTGCCCTTGTCCGGCTCGCTCAGAGCTGGCGACCTGCATGCTCAGCCTCAGCCACAGCGAGAGTGAGCCAGAGCCTACAGGTGCTGCCCTGGAAGAGCCCTCAGCCGCTGGGTGGGGCTTCAACTGGGACATGCCGCTTCCCTCCAAGGAGGCAGCCAGCGACTGGTGGGGACTGATGGGGCTGTGCTGGGGACAGCGATGGGGGGATGGGGCTGGGGTGGGGGGTGGGGCTGTGCGCGGGGAGCAGAGGCTAGCCCCCTAGCTTCGGTGGCAAAGCTCCGTGCTGCTGCCCTGCTCCAGAAATCCTCACGGGT